GAGATCCCCTATCAAAAACTTTTGCCCCCCCCCCCGGTTTTAATTGAAATTATAATATAAAAATAAGATGCGTAGTTACATGATTGTAAAATAACATTTAAATGTTTATATTTTACTCTCTGAGGCGTTAATTTCATATTATGTTGAATTGATTATAAAAGTTATATTTTACTATTTGAGGCATTAATTTCATTTCATATCATATTATGTTCAATTGATTTAAAAAGTATATATTTGATTGTCTGCATTATAGATATATATAAAATCGATATAACTTAAAGTTAACAAAAGATATATTAAATTTTCGACTTGATATTAATAATTAGGATACAATATTTATTCCTTTTAAAAATAAAATTCCGGTTCAACTTGATCAATTATATCATTTCAATTCTAACTAAGCTGGTGGGGAAGGAGCCCGTATACTCCCTTCGCTCGCCTGTTATGGTACTGAAGACGAAGAGACGCTTAAAAGAAAAATTGATGATAGACACGGTTCTTGTGCGAAATTGAATGGCATTTGAGACAAAGAGCTGAGTATTGAAAATTTTGTAATCCCACATTTTTTTTTTTGCAGTCAAATTTTTTTTTTGTTGAACATTTATTAGTAAACATAATTTTAATAACAATGATTAGTATTTTAATGTAATATATAGTAAAGCCTGTTATAATATATTAAATTTAAACCATTATTGCTAAATATTACTAAATTATATCAATTAGCACATATATAGTGTAATTTATACCTGTTTATGTTATAGGTATAATTACGAAAAAAATTATTATGGACAGCTATACCCCTCACCAGTAGCTCATAAATAATGTAATTTATACCTTTTTATGTTAAGGATATAAATACGGAAAAAACTATTATGATAGCTATATTGACCCTTCCCCATTAGCCCATGTATAGTATAATTTATACCTTTTTATGTTGGATACTATTACGAAATTTTTTTTTATTCGTAGACCCATTTTCTTTGATTTGTTGGTATACTAAATTATTGTTATTTCATTCTTTCCCCAATATATCTACCTACTTCCCCATTATAATGTATTAAAAAATTTCAATTTCTCAAAAATAAGTTTTATATAATTTTAAGGAAAAACATCACATTCTCTAAAATAATGTTATATTTGGAGTTTTTTTAAAATATTTTTTCTATATTTTAATTGATGTAGGTACATGATTGTAAAATAACATTAAATGTCTATGTTTTACTGATGAGGTGTTAATTATATATTATTTTATATTATGTTCAATTGATTTTAAAAGTTTATATTTTACTGTTTGAGGCATTAATTTAATATCATTATTATATTATGTTCAATTGATTTAAAAAGTATATATTTGACTGCTGATGATACATTATAGATATATATAAAAATCAATTCCACGTCAATTCGGCGCGGAAAGCGCCGCGCACGACAAATCGGCGCAGAAAACTCGGCGCGGCGTCAATTCGGCTCATCGTCAATTCAGCGCGGCGACAATTCGGCGCAACGTCAATTCGGCGCGGCGATAATTCGGCACAATGTCAATTCGGCGCGGCGACAATTCGGCGCGGCGACAATTCGGCGCGTATCTAATACAGTTGCAATTTATTATAAATTTATTAGTATAAAAAAAAGGATGATTAAATAGAAATGATTTTGAATGTTGATCATATTAATTATTTCTTCATATTTTTTTTACAAAATCATTAAAAAAAAATTAACAACTAATATTTATACCGATTTCCTTGCTGGACCAATTTACCACATTATAAGGTAGGGGAGACTGGGGTTAGTCGAACCGATTTTTATAAAATTGGCTATAGCTCCTCGTTTTTTAGATAATGTAAAAAAAATATGCTATTATGACAAATATCAAGTTTGTGCATAGAACACAAAATATTTTATATTCAAAAAATTATCAACAAAAGAAACAAAATTGAAAAAATGGCCAACTATTTTTGAAGGTAATGATTTGATATATTTCTAAAAACTTCATGGAAATGATTAATAATTTGTGTAAAAATAAATATTTTTTTAAAATAAAAATTTGATTTTCAATAAAAATATCTAAAAGTTGATGAAAATAGGTGAACTAGATTTATTTAACTTTCTTTTTATTATTTAAAACCTCAAATCTTCTAGGGAATTTGAATTTAAAAAACATTTTGATTTAATTAAAGTAGTGTAGGGGTCAAAAATTGGGTTCCACGTCAATTCGGCGCGGAAAATTCGGCGCACGACAATTCGGCGCAGAAAACTGCGCGGCGTCAATTCGGCGCAACGTCAATTCGGCGTGGCGACAAATTGGCGCAACGTCAATTCGGCGCGTATCTAATACAGTTGCAATTTAATTTATTAGTATAAAAAAAGGATGATTAAATAGAAATGATTTTGAATGTTGATCATATTAATTATTTCTTCATATTTTTTTTACAAAATCAATAAAAAAAAATTAACAACCAATATTTATACCGATTTCCTGCTGGACCAATTTACCACATTATAAGGTAGGGGAGACTGGGGTTAGTCGAACCGATTTTTATAAAATTGGCTATAGCTCCTGATTTTTTAGATAATATAAAAAAAAATATGCTATTATTTATGCCAACTAATGACAAATATCAAGTTTGTGCATATAACACAAAATATTTTATATTCTAAAAATTATCAGCAAAAGAAACAAAATTGAAAAAATGGCCAACTATTTTTGAAGGTAATGATTTGATATATTTCTAAAAACTTCATGGAAATGATTAATAATTTGTGTAAAAATAAAATTTTTTTAAAATAAAAATTTGATTTTCAATAATAATATCTAAAAGTTGATGAAAATAGGTGAACTAGATTTATTTAACTTTCTTTTTATTATTTAAAACCTCAAATCTTCCAGGGAATTTGAATTTAAAAAACATTTTGATTTAATTAAAGTAGTGCAGGGGTCAAAAATTAGGTTCCACGTCAATTCAGCGCCGAAAATTTTACGCACGACAATTCGGCGCAGAAAACTCGGCGCGGCGTCTATTCGGCGCGGCGACAAATCGGCGCAACGTCAATTCGGCGCGTATCTAATACAGTTGCAATTTAATTTATTAGTATAAAAAAAAGGATGATTAAATAGAAATGATTTTGAATGTTGATCATATTAATTATTTCTTCATATTTTTTTTACAAAGTCAATAAAAAAAAAATTAACAACCAATATTTATACCGATTTCCTGCTGGACCAATTTACCACATTATAAGGTAGGGGAGACTGGGGTTAGTCGAACCGATTTTTAAAAAATTGGCTATAGCTCCTGGTTTTTTTAGATAGTATAAAAAAAATATGCTATTATTTATGCCAACTAATGACAAATATCAAGTTTGTGCATAGAACACAAAATATTTTATATTCTAAAAATTATCAGCAAAAGAAAATATTTCTAAAAACTTCATGGAAATGATTAATAATTTGTGTAAAAATAAATATTTTTTTAAAATAAAAATTTGATTTTCAATAATAATATCTAAAAGTTGATGAAAATAGGTGAACTAGATTTATTTAACTTTCTTTTTATTATTTAAAACCTCAAATCTTCTACGGAATTTGAATTTAAAAAACATTTTGATTTAATTAAAGTAGTGCAGGGGTCAAAAATTGGCATTAATTTATAAATCCGGGCCAAAATAAAAAAATATGGGATGGCCATTATCATTACTTAGCTTATAATAATACTTTGCTTAATATCACAGATACTAGATATCCATTTCGTTTATTTTCAAATATTGTTTTGTTTAATTTTCACCAAACCTGGATTCGGAATAAGGCCATAACATTATACTTATATATTGGTTAGGATTAATGAATAATAATTTAAAAATTTGGTTCGGTTTAATATAAATCATTAGTTATTATTCATGTTAACAATTTTATTTGGGAAATTTTATTTGGAAAAATATTTCTTTAATTTTGTTGATTTTCTCGAAAATTTTACATATTTTATTTGGGGATTTTTTTTCCGAAGATTTTTTTGGGCGATTTTTTTTCCTATTTTGTTAATTTTCTAAAAATAATTTAATATTTTATATGGATCAAAAATTAGGGGATTATTTTCCCGGGAATTTTTTTCCATGGGATTTTTTTTACGGGGCTTAATCTTCCGGGGATTTTTTTTCCGGGGAATAAATTTCCTAGATTCAAAATTATGTTAAATCTTAATTCCCCTTGTTCCCGCCTATTTTTAGAAACAAAAATAAATTAATATATAATTTTATTTTCGGATTTATTCCTTTTGTTCAATAATTTTAAAGAATTCAATCGATATTTTTCTCAATAAATTTTATAATCTAAATTAAACATAAAATCCATCTCCTTTTTCTTTTTTTCCCCGCCTAATTAGAACAACAAATAAATAAATAGAATTATTTATCTTAAAATTTTGTCCTTTTTTTTCATTTTAAAAGTCTGTAAAAAAACTTTAATATTTTTCATTTCCTTCCGTAATTTAATCTTTATTTTCCATAATTTAATCATTGTAAATTGAGAATTCCTATTTAAAGGTAAATATTAATAATCTTATTTTTGTATATCATTTATAATTTTTTATATTATAGTTTACTTTTATTTTTAAGAATGCCTTTAAATTATGTCATAAGTGAACGTAGATCAAAACAATTAGTACATGATCAATTTCAGGAAAGAAAGAATTATAAATCAAAAAACAATATGGAAATGTGTAGAGGCTTATAAATTATTGGAAGGTAGACCTACCCGTTGCAAAGGACGATGCCACACATTAAATGAAGAGGTAATCCTTCATATTGATAATCATAATCACGTGATAGATGGTATAAAGGTCTTAAAAACCGAATGCCTAAATAACATTAAAAAACGGGCTATTGAGGTGACTGATACACCTCAAAAAATTATAAGCATTGCAATAGCAGAGGGTTCCCCATCCCTTCATGCTGCCCTTCCGCCCATCACGTCAATAAAACGAACCATCTAGCGAGCTAGATCGCTCATGGGTTCTCCATTACCTACCCCGACAAACAGTTATGATCTAGATTTACCTGATATCTATAGAAAAACATGTTCGGGGCATTTGCTACCGGAACTACCAAGAATTTTGATATTCGCCACTGCCCAAAACCTTAGATTGATGGCGGAAAGCAGTCACTGGTATGCAGATGGCACGTTTAAGACAACACCCTTAATTTTTTACCAACTTTGGACCCTCCATGTCCTATATAATAAAACAGTTATACCCACAATTTTTGCGCTATTACCGAATAAAACCAAGATTACATACATAAGGGTCTTGGATGAGATAAAAAGATTACAAAACAATGTAAATCCTATATCGGTAATGATCGATTTTGAGCAGGATGAAATAAATGCCTTTACACATTCATTTCCATCGATAACAGTAAGAGGCTGTTTTTTTCATATGACTCAATCAATTTGGAGGCACATCCAAAGTGATAGCGAATTATTATCTCATTATTTAGATAGAGATGCGGGAAGTGATTGGTCTATAAAAATTAGACAAATGGTGTCACTTGCATTTGTTCCCGTGGAGGACGTGTTTGATGCCTTTTATGGGCTATTACACACACAATTCTATCAAGACAATGAAAGTGTCTTGGACAAACTTATAACATATTACGAAGCCACCTGGATTGGCAAGATTCTTCGTAATGGAGTTATAATGTGGTAAATTGGTCCAGCAAGGAAATCGGTATAAATATTGGTTGTTAATTTTTTTTTATTGATATTACACATTTAGTAAATAAAATTGAGATTTTTGTAAAAAAAAATACGAAGAAATAATTAATATGACCAACATTCAAAATCATTTCTATTTAATCATCCTTTTTTTTATACTAATAAATTTATAATAAATTGCAACTGTATTAGATACGCTCTGAATTGACGTTGCGCCGAATTATCGCCCCGCCGAATTGATGTTGCGCCGAATTGTCGCCGCGCTGAATAGACGATGCGCCGAATTGACGCCGCGCCGAATTGACGTGATACCATAAAAATCGATATAACTTAAAGTTAACAAAAGATATATATTAAATTTTTGACCATATACCAGAGGTTGTCATATTAATAATTGGGATACAATATTTATTCCTTCTAAAAATAAAATTCTGGTTCCTTGATTAATTTTATCATTTCAATTAACCTTTCCCAAGCAATACTACCACACCCCAACCTAATTTCTACAAAATGGTAATCAGTGTTGTTAAAGTAGCGCGCTACTTTTTTCAGTAGTGGTTAAAATTCACGCTACTTCGCTACTTTCAATTATATAATAAATACACATAAAAATTATTAAAATATATTTATAATTAATTATAAAATCATAATATTTTAATTTAATTTAATTTAATTTTGGAATTTATTTTTATAAATCTACATTATAAATTTAGTTTTCAAAATAATTTCAAATTTGTAGACGATAGAGATTGATATAGTGTAATTTTGGTATAGATTATATAGACAAAGTAATTTCCCTGGAAAATTATGATAAAATGGAATTTCCTTTTTCTGAATTCACAAAATATTTTAATCTCGATAAAAAAAATAACAGGGTATAAATTTTATCGTAAGAGTGCCGAAACGTTTTATCATTAAACAAAGTAGATTCAACAAAGAAATTTGTAAAATATTGAAGCTAACGGGAGCTATTTTTAAAAGGGTTCCACGTCATTACAGGTAAACTTATAGAGAATGTATTTTACAGAGAAACTTTTATAGAGAAAATAAAAATAGAGAATGCACTTATAGAGAAAACAATTATAGAGAATGTCGTTTATAGAGAAAATTTTATAGAGAAAGTTTTAAAGTTTTATAAAGAGAATGACGTTTTAAGAGAATGCACTTATAGAGATTACAATTATAGAGATTACAATTATAGAGAATGTCGTTTATAGAGAATAATTTTATAGAGAATAATTTTACAGAGAATGATTTTACATAGAATGATTTTATAGAGAATGATTTTACAGAGAATGATTTTATAGAGAATGATTTTATAGAGAATGTATTTTATAGAGAATTATTTTATAATGATTGTATTTTATAGGGAATTATTTTATAGAGAATTATTTAATGAATGTATTTTATAGAATTATTTTATAAAGAATATTATTTTATAGAGAATTATTTTATAAAGAATTTTATTTGATTATCTTATAAAAAATGTTCTATATAGTCATATGAAAAAAAATTTACAGTATTTGACATAATATTATATGTTAGAATTACCTTATATAAGAGAATAATTGGGTAGTTTTTGAATTATTAAATCGGTACAGAAAATTATTTGTTTATCTTTGCACAAGGTTTTTTGATTATTAGATGAATTAATGGTAGAACAAAATTTTGACATGATTTGTAAGGAATTTTACAAAATTTATTTTTAAAGATAAGTACAAAATAAAATAGATAGTGTTGTTAAGTGACTTTGGCAATGTAATGCAACTAGTTAAGTTAGTAGTTAAATTTATAAATATAACAAGTTACAGTTAATAGTTTTCTTTTTTTAAATATGATTAGTCACTAGTTACAATTATCTTTATTGGATAGTAGATTCAAGGCTAGCCGGATCGATTAAATTACCTTAAATCGAATATATTTATATTAATATAAATTCATTGGCTAAAATTTAAATCAGACCTGCAGGCCCGGCATTTAAAATTTTTAAAATATACCTGGGCCGGGCCTAAAAATTTGGGCCGGGCCTGAAAATTTTTTTTTAAAAAAGACACGGGCCAGGATTAAATACATTATTATATAATATCTAATATATGTTATATTATTAATTAAAATATCATTTTTATTTTTTTTATAAATACATAGTATATTCTCAAAATATTATTTACACAAATTTTTTATAGTATCAATTTGTAATATACTAAATATCTGTTTAGAATAAAAAAAAAATATATTATAGTGTTGTTAAACGGCTCGTTTTGAGCGGATTTTAAAAACGGCTAACTCACTTTTTTATCCAGAAAAATATTTTGCAAGCCTGAAAATTTTGCTCATAGAAGGAGCAAAAGTCTAGACATATTGTATCGAAATTTCGAGGCTTAGTCAATATTTTTCTGGCGAAAATATTGAGTTAGCCGTTTTTAAAAATTGGCTCAAAACGAGCCGTTTAACAATATTAGCTGATATATTTGCTTATTAAATGATAATACTCGCCGAAAAATATGATAAAATACGAAATAATGAATTTTTTGTATATACCAGGTCGAATATAATTTTAAAAAATTCCGAGCCGGGCCTAAAAAAATTTTTTTTAAAAAAATCCAGGCCGGGCCCTCAAATTTTTTTTTAAATATCCGGGCCGGGTCTAAAATTTTTAAACCCTGGCCGAGCCGAAAATTTTTTAATCCGGGCCGTACAAATGGTACCTCTGCAGGTCTCTGATTTAAATCATATAGTAAAAGAAAATAAAAAAAATTTACTAATTCAAATTTATTATTTAATTTTATTTATTGAAATTATGTAACTAGTTACTTTTGGCAGTTACTTTCTGAAAAATGTAACCAGCTACAGTTACGATTTTGTAAATGTAACTAGTTATAAATTTTTTTTAGCAAAAGTGTAGTTGTTAATGGTAACCATTTAATTTGACAAAACTAATGTAGAGATTTTCATTTATAAGCTTTTTTTATCTTCAGCAAAATTTATTTAGTTCTTACTTATATTATTATTCTTCCTAAAAATTTTCAATTATAGATGGGACACACCGATAATACATTCTTAAGTTACAAGTTATTTGTCACTAAGAGGTAAAATAATTTTGACATGATTTATAAGGAATTTTACGAAATTTATTTACAAAATAAAATGTATAGTGTTGTTAAAAGTTACTTTGGCAATGTGACTTAAAAAAGAATATGTTTAATACTATTTGTATATGAAGTTTTTATAAGATAAACCTTGATAATATAATGAGATTAGCAATATTCATTTCGAAATATCAAATAAATTTTTATTCATAAAAAATCCAAATAAACATAGTATAAATAATATACCAATATAAAAAATACAAATATGATTAAATTAAATTTAAATTATTAAATAATCCAGCATGGTTCTTGAATAAAAATCTTCAATAATTAAAAATCCTTTTGGATCTTTCGTGATATTCTTTCTTTGACAGCGGAGCCAATAATCCTAAAGAATATTGTTCAATTTGTAACAATTCAGGCTATCTTCGTCTTTGAGAGCTAAAAATTAAAATGCTAAAATTTATAATATAATATAATTACTAACTCTTTATAAATTTCCAGATCGTTGGATGATGGGAACTTATATGAGACGAAAAATTTCGATGCCAGTCCTCTACTAAATTATTTGTATTGAGTTCACGAGATAGTGTCGATTCGTAGCAATTCCATAGAGAAATGCTAAATATTCGCGACTTCCTCTCCATCGCTATCATTTTTCCAATCCACGTCTCTTCAAAGTATTCTATCAAGGGGGAGAGAATATCCCTACTTTCTTGAATTTAGAGGCACATAATTCCTCGAATCTATGAATTACATCCTCAATTGTTACATATGCCATTGACATTAACATTTTTATGTACATAGCAAATTTTGTTTGGTTTTGTATGCATTGCAAATTAGCGAATTTTTTTGAACCGTGCGCCATATGCAATCAGACATATGAAACAGGCATCCGCGCAAAAGTAACTGGTTACTTAATTTATATATAGGTTTCAATAAATATAATTAAATAATAAATTTAAATTTGTAAATTTTTTTAACATTCTTTTACTATATGATATAAATCTTAGCTAATTAATTTATATTAATAAGCCCTGAATCTACTATCCACTAAAAATAATTGTAACTAGTGGCAGTTATATTTAAAAAAGAAAACTAACTTGTTATATTTTCCCAAATTTAACTACTATAACTAGTTGCATTACATTGCCAAAGTAACTTTTAACAGCACTATTTTATTTTTTACCTATCTTTAAAAATAAATTTCGTAAAATTCCTTACAAATCATGTCAAAATTTTACCATTAATTCATCTAATAATCGAAAAACCTCGCTTATATTAGGTATAATTCTAATATTTAAAATTATGTAAAATACTATAACTTTTTTTTCCTATGACTATATATAACATTTTTTTATAAAATAATTATATCTTTAATTAAAATACTTTATAAAATAATTCTCTATAAAATACATTCTTTATATAATAATTCTCTATAAAATACATTGTTTATAAAATAATTCTCTTATAAAATCATTCTCTGTAAAATCATTCTCTATAAAATTATTCTCTATAAAATCATTATCTATTAAATCATTCTCTGTAAAATCATTCTCTATAAAATTATTTTCTATAAAATCCTTCTCTATAAAATAGTTTTCTGTAAAATCATTCCCTATATACGACATTCTCTATAAATGACATTCTCTATAAAAAATTCTCTGTAAAAAACATTCTCTATAAAATAATTCTCTATATTCGACATTCTCTATAATTGTTTTCTCTGTAAAAGTTTCTCTATAATTATTTTCTCTGTAATGACGTGATACCTTTTAAAAGCAGCTTTTAACAATACAGATGTTTACTTAGTTTAAAAAAATAATTATCAGAATAGTCTTTTTTCTATATTTCATCTTCAACGAAATTTTAATATAACATATTTGTTTAGGGTTCCACGTCTTTA